CGATAGGTTACATACCACAGTTAATAGTTTTGCAGTTTCATATTTGAATTCCTTCAGAACTGTTGGGTAAATTTGTTCCAAACCCATCTCTATTGAAACCTCAATCTGGGACAGTTTCTCAGAGTTGTCATCTAAAAAGAATGCCTCCGGTGTGGGACTCTCCCTCACATGCTCTGCAGTGAAGACCAATACAAATAATTCAAGTAGCTTCTCCACAATAGCCTTGTCTTCCTTGAGCACTTCTTTAGCTTCTCAGTTGTCCAGTGGCCCCACTGATTGTTTGGAAGGCTTCTTGTTTCTGATTACTTAATTTTGTTGTTGTTGCTGTTAGTTTGTGTGTCTTTTGCTAGTTGCTCTTCAAATTGTTTTTTGGCCTGCCTAATTATAGTTTTACATTTGACTTGCCAGCGTTTATGCCCCTTTCTATTTTCCTCAGTAGGATTTGACTTCCTATTTTTAAAGGATTCCTTTTTGCCTCGAACGACCTGCTTTACTCTGTTGTTTAGGCAGCGTGGCATTTATTTGGTCCTCTTACTATTTTTTTATTAGGGGTTATACATTTAATTTGTGCCTCTATTATGGTATTTTTAAAAAGTTTCCATGCAGCTGGCAGGCATTTCACTCTTGTGACTTTTTCCGTTTAACTAACTTCCTTGTTTTTGTGTAGTTGCCCTTTTTGAAATTATATGCTACTGTGTTGAGCTTCTTTGGTATCCCTTCCCCCCCTCCCAAGGATGTTAAATTTAATTACATTATGGTTGCTATCATTTATCAGTTCAGCTATATTCACCTCTTGGACCAGATCCTGTGTGCCCCTTAGGACCGAATCAAGAATTGCCTTTCCCCTTGTGGGGTTCACTACTAGCTGCTCCAAGAAGCAGTCATTAATGGTGTCTAGACATTTTATCTCTGCATCCTGTCCTGATATGTATCCAGTCAATGTAGGGATAGTTGAAATCCCCCATTATTTTTGAGTTTTCTATTTTTGTAGCCTTTCTAATCTTCCTGAGCATTTCACATCCTAGTCAGGTGGTTGGTAATATATTCCTACCGTTATACACTTATTCAGTCATGGAATTTATGTCCATAGAGGTTCCATGGTAAAGTTAGAATTGGTTAACATTTTCATTATATTTGACTCTATGCTTTCTTTCATATGTAGTGCTACTCCCCCCGCCAGCACAATCTACTCTGTCATTCCTACGTATTATATATCCTGTTATTACCAGGTCCATTGATTATCATAATTCCACCAAGTTTCTGTGATGCCTAGTATATCAATATCCGCATTTAATACCAGGCACTCAAGTTCACCCATCTTAGTATTTAGACTTCTAGCATTTGTATACAAGCACTTATAAAATTTGTCAATATTTAGTTGTCTGCATTCACGTGATGTAGTTGACTGGAACCCTTTTTAATTTGATTGTTTCTCTTCAGAGCCTACAGGTACTTTATAAACTTCTATCCTTTCCTTTTTACTAGGATACGGAGAATCCCTGTTAAATAGATCCTTCCCTACGGGATGTCTCTGTCCGAAATGTGCGCTCCTCCACATCTGTTGGTTTTCCCCCAGCGTTTAGTTTAAAAACTCCTCTACAAACTTTTTAATTTTACCTGCCAGCAATCTGGTTCCATTTTGGTTTAGGTGGAGCCCATCCTTCCTATATAGGCTCCTCCTTTCCCAAAAGGTTCCTCCATTCCTAATAAACCTAAATCCCTCCTCCCAACACCACTGTCTCAGCCACCCATTGAAATGCTGCATTTCTGCCCGTCTAACTGGCTCTGCGTGTGGAACTAGAAGCATTTCAGAGAATGCTACCATGGAGGTCCTGGACTTGAATCTCTTGCCAGCACTGCACATAAGTCTGTCTATCTGTCTTGAGAGATCTGCAACCTTTGTATCTGGCAAGCAATTTGCTATGTGTTTCTCCTGGTTATCAGAAGCCTGGGCAGTTGGGGACCTCCCCTTGAAGCCATCTGCTTCTCCAGAAGCAGCAAGAGCAGCAGCAGGCTTTTAACCATTTCATGTTTGGTCTCTACTAAAGGCACATACAGGAGTGGGCAAGAAGCCTGCTCTAGCTGCTGCAATCCGCACTGGTGAGCCACTGCCATGTGAAGTGGCTGAAAGGAATCTTCTGGCTCTGTAGTTGGTGAAGACCTTCATGCCTTCTCCTCCTTTATAAATACTCTGGCAGGAACCGCCTATGAATGCACTCTGGTTAGAATAACTAGAGAAGGCTGGGTGTGCCTGAGCAGCAGCAGTGTGTTTTCAGAACTTGGGCTGCACGGGGCATGTCAAGTGCTGAGCAGCATCAAAACCTTTTATATATGTGCTATTGACCTGTCTGTCATAACAGCTGAAAGCATGCTAAATATCTTCTTCTTTATAACACAGCAGCCCCTGTGAAGAGAGACCCCAGCACACTCTCTGGGGTCAGTGTGCTGTCATTTACCCCTTGATTCTTTTTGTTCTCTCTTCTCCCAGCTCAGACTCTGCAATTTCGTAACTGATCTTTTTTCAGCATCTTCAACAATTTGTAATTAACTTGACTTCTTGCAGTAAAATCTGTGTTAGAAACACATTGAAACACTGTTTAATTCTCATTTGCTACTCTCAGGCTTGGTCCACACTGGGGCGGGGGATCGATCTAGGAAACGCAACTTCAGCTACGAGAATAGCGTAGCTGAAGTCGACGTTTCCTAGATCGAATTAAGTTTACTTACTGCGGGTCCACGCGGCGCAGGCAAGCTCCCCCGTCGACAGCGCTTCCTCCTCTCGGCGAGCAGGAGTTCCGCAGTCGTCGGGGGAGCGCTTCTGGGATCGATTTATCGCGTCCAGATGAGACGCGATAAATCAATCCCAGAAGATCGATCTCTACCCGCCGAATCAGGCGGATAGTGTGGACCTAGCCTTAGAGTGGTGGGTAGCTTGCCTTTTACAGGTTTTAGGGTTTTTCAAAGGCACATAACACACAGAGCTAGAATTTTCTTGTTTAGATTATTTAATATATACATGCAAATGAAAAACCCTACTTTGACTACAATCCCTGGAGTCGCCTACAGACTCGCATTAGAGAAGATGGTGGTGTCCTTTACTTGCCAAACAATTGCTTGGTAACTGATGGACTTGGAGTGACCTGACACGTATTCTAGTCTGTGTTCAATGCATGTTTCCCCGCAGTACATCGGCACCAACAAGCAGAAAGATAAAGGGAAGGAGTGTTTTTTTGTTTTTCTTTTTTTCTTTTTTCCAAGGCCTCTTAAACAGGATCAACATTCCATTAATCCCTTTTCTTTATAGATGCAGTACACAGGCGCCATCAAATACTTGTTTATAACAAGCAATTCACATAAGACAAGTTTGCCATAGTGTTCTTTCCTGGCCATTGAGTATTCTAGCATCCTTGGCTGCCATTTGTTTCAGTGAGAGTTGAGGGTGCTGAGTGCCTTGCTGGATTAGCCCATAGATTTCTAGGAGAAGAGCAGAGATATACTCCCCAAAGGTGCTAAAACTGTGGTAACAGTGTACTGAAATGTTTACGTGACACACATGCAATTTTTATGAATTACTTTAATTTGAAAGACAATAGATGCTGAATGATTCCGAGCCTCTTTCTGATCTTGCATTCCACAAGAGCAGTGGTTGCCAAATGAGTTAATGCACCATGCAGATTGGTCATATTTTCAGCATGTCTTTATGTATGGCTAGTGAACTGGAAGTTCCAGTTAACCTTTCAGGGCAGTAACTCCAGGGCGTTTTGAATGGGAGTCATTCCTTTGATTGAACTTTAGAGGTCAATGTGACGTCCAGAAGTGTTCCTCCTCACATACCCGCCGCCCTGTGCGTTTGAATGGGGACACTCATTTGCAGGTGTGCCATGTATGTGAGACTAATGCAGTGACCTCAAGTGGGATTTTTAAAGATTCCCACAAATATAAATGAAGGCTGTGATTTAGAGTTTAGCATGCAGCTGGCCTTTCCACTTAAGTCTCTAGCATCATTGAATAATTGCACTTAAGGATTGTTTTACTTTTCAACTTAGGTATTTAGAAAAAAAACTAATCAAACGGGCTGTCTCTGTGCTGTGTTTGGGCGATTTCTTGCTATGCACCCTAACATGTACTTTAATGGATCCTTCTGGAGCAGAAAGTGGTGCTACAGGAAATAGTGTTGGTGATTCAGTAGGTGGCACTATTTTATCTGAGTCAGTACTGAATTGGTCCTAGGGGCACTGTGCTGCTGGAGGGGCCATCAGTCAAGAGAGACACAAAATGTTGGTACAAATGGCTTTCAGCAGCAATGGCATTTTTAGAAGTATATAGGTGTTCTTGCCACAGATCAGTGTAGGCAATTACATTCTTATTATGTAATTCTTTCCTCTGCAGTTTCAGTTGGTACAGGATTCTTCTTCACATCCTGTTGAGCAGTGTTGCTTGGAACATGGCAAGCATTCATCTAGAGGTGGCTGCATTTCAGAGATTGGTGAAGTGTACATAAATATGTGCTCTGTGTATGTTCATAGCCTTTTCTGCTCACTTTGCTGTCTGAACTGTTTGTTTCTCTTTGCTGCTGTGAGTCCTACTGAGCCAGCTCAGATCTTGAAATGGCTCTTAGAGTCTTCTTTGGCTTGTGTGTATCACTTAACAGAATTGCATAATCTTTGTTACAGGTTGCTTTTAGGGCTGGCAATTAGAAATTGATTGTTACTTGTAAATTTAGCAGATTTGATTTGATTTAGATTCCTTAAAAGATAAAAACTGTGGAGCCCTGTGCTGCTTTTTTACAAATACTTGTCAGAGCAGAGGCCAACTTTGCATTGCCTGATTTAGCTGCCTATAAGTGTGTAACCTGGTTGTAGACTGTGTCTAGTTTGTCCAATAAATTAGAGCTTTTGTAATCATTTGGATAAAAGGATCTATGTAAAAGCTCACCATCATGGAAACTAGTTCCTGTAAATACATACAAAGAGCTTATTTCATTTTTTTTTAAATGACAGTTTTCCAGAATGATGCCAAGAAAAAGAAAGCGGTTAACTCCATTAAATGCTGTCCAAAGTAAACCCAGCTTCTCTCCAGCTGACACCTCTGGGAGCCTGACAGTTGTTCTTGATGGGAATTCCTCTCCAGTAAGCAGCAAATACTTCAGTGAAGAGAAGAGGACATCTTCCCGGCTAGGGACAGATTTTTTCAACCAATCCTGCATCAGCCTGGCTAAATCATTTCTAGGACAGGTAATTGACACAAGGACTCATGTCCATGCCAACAGGTTCACTTTGTGGTACAGCACACACCAACAACATAAGTTGTTGGACCATAATCGCATCCTTTTACTGAGTTTTAATTCCAAAGCTCTCTGCTGTTACAGGAACTATTGACTCACTCTTGTTCTTGGTGAAATCATTGGGACTTTCGGGAACAGGGTTGGGCCCATTTTGGTTGCATGAGCAGAGCCAGTCTCTTATCAGATCAATTTTCTATTGCATTTTGCATTAAGCTTATCTTGAAACTTTATTTTTTTTAATCCAGTTTACTCACTGAAATGGGATTGGTGACTGATCCAGGGCCATTATTCTTGTAACAGGTATTCCTGTATGTTGGCTTTGTATTTTCTTTGGCTGGGTGGCCTAGTGGATAGGTTACTGGACCGGGACTCAGGAAACCTGAGTTCTATTCCCTGCTCTACCTTGCTGGGTGATCTTGGGTCAGTTATTTGGGATAGCTCAGTGGTTTGACCATTGGCCTGCTAAACCCAGGGTTGTGAGTTTAATCCTTGAGGGGGCCATTTAGGGAACTGGGGTAAAAATCTGTCTGGGGATTGGTCCTGCTTTGAGCAGGGGTTTGGACTAGATGACCTCCTGAGGTCCCTTCCAACCCTAATATCCTATGATTTCCCTTCCTGTGTCTCAGTTTCTGTATTTGTGAAACGGGGATAGTGCTTCTGGCCTCCTTTGTAAAGCGCTGTGAGATCTATGGATGAATAGCAGTTTATAAGGGCTATGGATTATTACTATTATTATGCTATAATATGTTGGAATAGTTACTTCTCTCTGAAAACCCAATCTACCTCTCTAGACTTCGTGCCTTTTTTCCTGCTGCCTTGTATGCTTGGACAGCCTCTCACTTAATATACACCAAGCTCTATCCTCTTAGGAGGCAAATATTGCTTCTTTCTTGACTGCAGCTGAATCAGCATGGGTCGATCCTACAGAAAAGACACGGTGCATGATTTCACCCTTCCTTGTACATTACTTAACTGTGTTCCATCGGGGATCCCTTTGCACTAGAACACAATGTGTTTTGCGGGGCAGGCCGTGGGTGTCACAGGGGTGGGGCTGTTGGATCTTTGACTGTGCACATCCATCAGACATTCTCTGCCTACCCGTAGGCGGGGAGCCACAGGAGCCCTGAGGCTGTGATAACAGCTGCATAGTATCTTCACAGCCTTCCCCCCCTCCTCCCCAGGGACAAGAAATCCTGATTGCATAGTTCAGTTAAATGAGTTGTGTACTTTAGCCAGGAATTAGCCCTTAAATCTGTAAAACCCCACCCACACACTGTTGAAGCACTCCAAAGGTCTCAAACTTGTGCGTTCCTGCTCTGTATTGTCCTGTGTTGTGCCTGCTATCCCTCTTGGAATTTTGTTTTAAAAAGTTGTCATGGAAATGTTTCTGTCAGTCTTAGATTTGATAAAAGTTTTGGATTTTGTCTTACCAAACCTAAATTTTGGGTCATACTTGGCCTGACAGTAACTCTCTTTAAAATGCATTTGGTCATATTAGTATGCACCGTCAATAGGACACAGAAACCTAAACAGAATAGAATACATCGTAGGATATTTTGCATACGTACTAGTGAATGAGGATAGTTAAGGGCATTTGCTTATTTTTCCACTAGGAGAAACCCTTGTCTTTATTCTACTTCAGTGAATTGTTTTTGCTGTAATGGAGGACAAAATACAGACGGAGTTTACTAATCATCAGTGGAAGAGAGATGTGTGTCTTGAGTGGCTTCCTTTGTGCACATTTGGGGTAGCTGAGAAATCAAGGAAATGGCCGTGTGAATCTTAAAACCACAATTCGATCCTCAGCATTTTTTCTGTTAAAAAGAGAAAGTCAGCCATGTGTGTCTGATGCTTTTGGAGCATAAAAGCTGACTGTCATTATTCACAGATCATGACTTCAGACTGGCCAAAAAATTAGTATGCTTCTGAAGCCTCTCTGTGCATATTTCATGATTGAAAATGGTAAACTCAATAATTTCTCTGATACCGTTGAGAACTCGAGAGTTGTTAAAAACAAATTCTAAAATGCAACAGTTGTAGTGTTTGATGCAGACTTCTGGCAAATCCATTACTGGATCAGGCCAACAATTGCTTTAGCAATC